CTAGGAGTCGACTAACACTAGGAAAATGGTAAAAATAAGGTTGATGATTGTTTTGTGGTTTTGAAAGTTGTAGAAAATTAAATGAGAGAAATAAAATCAAAGCAAGCAATAATTCAAAAAGGGAAAAACAAATGGCCAAGGGTTATGGATTTCGGGGTTCACCAACATGCGGGATGTGTTAAATATTGAGAATCTATTTTATACTTCCTTTGAAATTGGGGATTCTAAGATAAAGATCGGGATTTGCTCTCTCAAGCTAAATGCCCGCTACCCAAGAGGACATTCCATCTACTTTCGTAACTTGGAATGGAATCTTGAGTGCATTGAACTCTCTTGTCAAAATCCTAGGTTGGATTGAACCGAATTTCTTCGCTTTCAATCACAACCCTATTGAATGAATGCATCAAGGAGTCGAGGTGTCATGTCTCCATGGAAACCAAGACTCTAAAATCAACTCAAGGGATTTTCATCCCAAGAGAGCATTAAAATCCATTCATCAATCCAAAGCATTCATTCTCATTCAATGGCAATCCATCTACTCATGAATCCTAAGTCTCCAAAGAGATTCAATCAAAGAGGGATATAGAAAATAAGCATAGAAATCACCCATTGAATGAAATGAAGGTCTAATCAAAGTATAAACATAAATTCATCAAGTGGGTTCACACATCCTCACATGAGGATTCACCCTCAATCCATAACTATCTAACTACTCACAACCCATGTTCAAAAGCAAAGCAAAACAAGGGTAAAGTGCAGAAATCATAGAGAGAGTAGAGAGATGCTCAAGAAATCTTCAATCTTCAATGGAGTTTCCTCCTTCTTCTTTCTCTTCCAAGAGCTCTCCTTTTCTCTCCCCAAGGTCTCTATTTTCGGCCCCCAATCAAACTTAGGGTTCTCTTGACTCCTTTCCCCTCAAAAACCCGAAGAGACTGGCGAAACGGCGTAGTTTTGGCGGAGTCTGTCATGTGGTCCGTCCGTTCTAGGTTGGTTCTCCGTCAGACCGTCCGCTCTCACCTTCAGACCGTCCGTTCTAAACGTGTAGACCGTCCGTTCCGACGTGTAGACCGTCCGTTCTACGTTGTGCTCCAGGCCGTCCGTTCTGACTCGTGGTTCGGAGGGCTGTCTTGTGGTCTGTCGGGTCTGTGCACCCAGTCCGTCCGTTCGAGCATATGGGTCTGTCCGTTCCAGACCTAAAATCTGGGAATTATGCTTCTGTCTTCTCCGTTTCATCCCGAAAACTCTCGAGTTCCTGCAATGGTCAAAACCTAGTCCCAGAGACCTAAAATGGCTCTAATATGCCTAGGATGTGTGGAAACCATTTGGAAACCAGAGGCATACTCGGTGTAAAATCCAGATAAAATCCGAGCCATCAAATCCCCCCAGACTTAAGTCTTTGCTCGTCCTCGAGCAAATAAAATCAATGAAACACGAAATCTGAGAAGGACAGTGAGTTAGAAATCGGTCTTTGATGAGTTTCAAGATCTAGTTGCGTGTCCACTGCTCAACTTATGGGAGTAGAATCGAATCTAGGCTACTCTAGCTATTTTCTCTTGTCAGCTAAACTTTCCTAAGTATGGGATTTCTATGTCGTCTCTAGTCTACCATAACAGGAATTCCAACTTCCAAGCACTCTCCTGCACCTATTTACCGTTCTTCTCCTCTAAGATATTTTGTCTTTTTATTTATTTTGTTCACACATTTTTTTTTTCAAGAGAATGCTAAGAGAAGTAGTATCCCGAGTTCCTAGGACGTTGAAGTTGACAAGTGTCTCCGCTTTTGCTTTTCTCTAATAATCATGATACTTGTCCCACAACTTAGACCCGAACCGTCGAATTTCGACGCACTCATGTCATCGAATGATTTTCATTAACGATATAGTGACAACGGAGTGTTGGGATGTATATACTTTCTTCGCTTATTCCTACCACATTCTTTCCAAGAGACTATCTATCCTATGGGAGAAGCTTCGAGAACGGTTTTAGGGAGATATTTAACCTAGGTTCGGTCGGTCCTACTCTTTGGCATACCTAAAGACAACAATATACCCCACAACCTA